CCTCAGGTACTTCTATGCACTCTCAAATCTGATACCCACTACCATTAAGGGATCTGGAATATGTGGACCCCCAAATGCAAATCCCCTCAGGATTTACTCTATACAACTGAACCCGAGAGAAAGCAGATGAGTTCAGGAAGATGCTGTTCTCACCCAAGGAGATGAGATTCCCATAGTTCTCCAACATCACTTCTCTGTACAGGTGCCTCTGAGAGGGATCCAGATGCTCCCACTCCTCCTGGGTAAAGTCCACAGCCACATCCTGGAACGTCACCAGCTCCTAAAACAACAAACAAAGTCACCCTCACACATACCCATTCCCACAGAGGAATGCAGCTGACAAGCACCAGTGACATCCATAAGTGGTCCTGAGAGTTTCCAGGGTCCTGAGTTAGACTAACTTAGGCACACATCCATGCACTTGATTGTGTTATATCATGTAGAAGATTGAAAAGATGCATGAGGTACATTTTTTTTTAACGCTTCAGCCCTTAAAGTCTCTTTGGGTGAGAAGACTCAAACTTCAACCACAGTACACCAAAAGCTACACAATTTCAGAGGTATCATCCACACAACATTCTATGAATCAGAATCAGCTTGAGATTTACTTGAGGAAGGGTCCAGAGAAGGAGTCCAAGGTGGGTTGGGGCCATGAGGGCAGGTACCATGGAGAAAGCCAGGTACCAGCCTTGTGGGATGGTTAAAATGTGAATAGAGGGAAGGGAGGTGGGGAATTCCAGTTGGCAAGAAAAGTGAGTGGATAGTTGTGTGGGAAGGAACAAGACATAGATCAACAATAAGGACTCTTTGGTTAATAAGAAATGCTATATAGGAAACATCCCTCTGATAATTATATATTAACAATGTTTATTATGGGCCCCAAATCCCCACTCACACATTCACAATAGAAAGGATATATGAACTCTGGCAGAGTCACATGAAGGACTAATATTCAGTACCAATTCCCAAACTGTGGTTCAGGGACTCATGAGGTTCCCCAAGACCCTGTCAGGGGGGTCTGTAAAGTCAATATTATTTTCATAATAATTCTCAAGGCTTATACACTCTCATTCTCTTACAACAATATAGAGGCTACATGTCGTGTGATCTTGCAACTGAGAAAATGTTGAAGCAGATGTGAGATTCCAGCTGTTTTCTATTAGGCCAGACATTAAAGAGATTAGCAAAAATACAAAACATTTCCATTCTTCTTTTTTATGTTTTTTTTGTTTTGGAAAATTAAGTATTTTTCATAAAATGTGACATTAACTGTAATGGATTAATTTTTGAATGGATTAATAAATATTTTAAATTTTTGTTAGCTTGAACCACCAATCTGGTAATATTGATAACACACATAATAAAAGCCATTTTTTAAAGTGTAAAGGGGTCCTGAAACAAAAAGTTTTAGAAACTACTGCTATACTGAAATGAAAGTGAACAAACTACATATACATGAAACAATATACATCAATCTCACAACATAATATTGAAAAAACACCAGCACAAAAGAGTACTGTATGTACTCTTGATTCTATTTAAAAAGTTCAAAATCAGACTAAACTAATCTACAGTACTAGAAGTCAGAATAGTGGCTACCACTGTGGGGAAGACGGGGTTCTCTACTAGGAGGGGTTTGTTCAGAGCTGAAGAGATAGGAGAAGGCACAGAACAGCTATAGATTAATTTAGCCTGTTCTAGAACTTCATATAAATGGAATTGATACCAACTGGGGTTCTTCCCCAATCAATAGAAATTGACTAGAGGCCAGATAAGAAATTCAGGCTAGGCTTTATTGGGGTCCCTGATACAGCAAGGGGGAGCAAAAACAAACAAGTTTCCCTTGCTCCCAGAGGCGGGGAAAGCGAGCTGCTTCCTTATATGGGGTGAGGGTAAGGGTGTGTCCAGGGGTCGGGCCAGAGGGGTGGCTTAGGTGTTTTGCCCAACCCTTTGGTGGTGCTGAGTGCAGGGCGCATGTGCAGTACCCAGCTTTTGCTCCCAGCTCTTCAGAAGTGGCAGCTGAGTTTTTTTGGTCTTTTTGTATCTTTTGTCCAGAATTTGCCCCAACTGCACATGCATGCAGTTATTTTTAGTCCCTTATAGTTCTTTGTATTTTGTTGCTCAAGGAGACGTTTGCCCAGGTGCAAGCACTGCAGCAAAAGGTCGAGGGCCCAGCCTGTCTCAGTCACATAGTATGTACTCTTGTGTCTGGCTTACTTTTTCTCAGCATAATGCTTTTGAGATTCATTCATGTTGTTATATGTATCAGCAGTTGTTTCCTTTTTTTTTTTTAATGAGTAGTTCTTAATTATATGGATTAACACATTTTATCCATTTATCAGTTGATCGACATTTGGGTTGTTTTTAGTTCAGGGCTATTATAAACAAAGCTGCTAATAGTCACATACAGATTTTTGTGTGGACATCTATTTTCATTTCTTCTGGGTAAATACAGTGGGATTTCTGGGTCAATGGTAAGTGTGTGCTTAATTATATAAGAAACTCTAAAACTGTTTTCCAAAGTATATTGCACCATTTTGTCACTCCTACCAGCAATGCTCAGACTTTGTTGAGAAACTGGAGTAACATATGTCTAGCCCAGGGCCAGCACAATATACATGTTATATTGCTCTCCTTCCCCAATCCCCAAAATGAGGTATGTGGGTGATATTTTGAGGGAGAGAAGGTGGACTCTAATTTACCTGTAATTTGGGCATTTCCTCCTCTTCCTGAAGAAGGGCAGAAACCTCAGAAGGCAGTGCTGGGTAAGAAGAAAGAAGCAGTGAAAAATGAACTTGGCTCACTGAAGCAGACCAGTATCTTAGTTACCAAGAAGGGAGAAGGGGCACATTGTATTCAGCTGGTAACAATGGTCCTTGTTTACCATTACCTGACTTTTCTAGGCCCTCCCCTAGAAAGCCTTTTCCTCTCTTTCTACTTTTACAGATGGCCCTTCGACCCAGACACTTTCTCCCTCCCTCCTTGCAAAAACCTACTGAATACCTGCTGTGTGCCTTGGTAATGATTTAACTCTCACCTTTCTCCTTACTCTTTGAGGTCACTCCAGCTTCTACATGGTCCCACATCTTGCCCTCCCTGTTAGGAGGGGAATCCCCTCAGTCCCAGCAGCTCTGCTGAGGGAATCTCTCTTCAGCCTCTCCAAACTCCACCTGGAACATCCAGAGGGAGTTTCAGGAGATGTTGTCTCCACGAAAGATGGAACTCCTGCATGTGGGGGACCTCCTGCAGCCTTCATGCTCAGGTAGCTGTTTTGTTCCTGTAGGCAGGAGAGGAGATGTCCCAGCAGCCCGGACTTCAGGCTGGGTCCTGGACTTCTCTATTTAAGTGAGAGCACAGTTAATAAACTAAAGCACAGTTAAGGTGATAAGCGTTTACTAAGCATCCACTGTGTACAAGGCATAACCCTACTTCCTAGGGGTACCCAGCTCTGACTTTCTCAGGACTGTAGCTTCACAGGTTGATCAAGTCACAGGGCAGCAAATTCTGCCTCCTCTGTGAAGATTTCCTGGAAACCTCCCACTTTGGGGATACAAACCCACAATTCTCAAAAGGTGAACTGGTGAAATACTTGAATTTCTCTTTTTAGCTATCAGATCAGTATATGTTTTAAAATCTGAAAATCTTATCACTAGTGAGGCTGTAGGAAAATGATCAGTCTCATATGCTGTTAGAACATAAATAGGTACAGTCTTCTGGGGGGGAGCAATTTGATTGTATCCTTCAAATTGAGGGGGCAGGGAGGGTCAGGAAGCAGGGGTTACAAAAGTGAACCAGGAAACTTTGGGGGGTGATAAGATACATTGATTATCTTGATTGAGATGATGGTTTCATGAGTGTATAAAAATGTCAAAATTGAATATATTCATATATATTCATGAATATATATATATGAATATAAAATTGAACAATTTATGTGCGGTTTATCATGTGTCAATTAATCCTCAATACAAAAAATTCAGTTCACTAAAAAAAAGTTTTTTAATGTACAGAACACCTTTGGTCCCACACTTCCAATTCTAAATGTCAGACTTGCACAAGAGCATGAAGATATGAGTGCAGAGATATTTATTGTAGTTACATTTGTAATACTGAAGAACTTTCAGTTATCTGAAAGTACACCCACACTGGACCACACAATACTGAATGTCTGCTAAAGAATGAGGCAGCTCTGTATATACTGACAAAGAAAGGCAACTTTAGTGTAACTTTACAGAGAAAGCAGCCAAACTGTGTTAAGGTTTACTTTTGTAAATTTTTTTTTAAGTATGAGTATTTTACATAGATGTAAATGATTCTCAATGCATTGGATGGGAAATTGGACACAGGATAATTCCAGGTTCAACTCTATATCCAATTGTACTCTTCTATTTACAACAAGCAATATGTTTAACAAGCAAAATATTAAGCTATTTTCTTTTTAAACAAATATAAACTACGGAATAAGAAGTGACATAACAAAATGTTAAGGTGACAGCTGGATGAATTTCAGAGATATTACGCTGGGGGAAGGGAGTACAAACTGTATTTATGCAGTTATAGAACAGGCAAAACTAATCAGAAATAGTGGTTGCCTATGGGGGAAACTGGGAGGGAGCACAAAGGGAACTTTATAAGGTGACATACATATTCTGTATATTTACTTGGGTGGTGATTTCATTGCTGTGTATATATATGTAAAAATTCACCAAGATGTACTTAAGATTTGTGCAATGTATTGCATGTAATTTACATCTCACTTTTTAAAGTTTTTGCAAAAATTTAATAAGTTATGGTGATTCTAAAAAACTCTAATTAGCAAAGTCATGCAATAACACCCAGTTTTTTGGGTTTTTTTTTTTGTTTTTTGTGGTACACGGGCCTCTCACTGTTGTGGCCTCTCCCGTTGCGGAGCACAGGCTCCGGACGCGCAGGCTCAGCGGCCATGGCTCACGGGCCCAGCCACTCCGCGGCACGTGGGATCTTCCAGGACCGGGGCACGAACCCGTGTCCCCTGCATCGGCAGGCAGACTCTCAACCACTGCGCCACCAGGGAAGCCCAACACCCAGTTTTTAAAACTTCTTTAAAGAGAAGATAACATTATAGATTACCTTAGAAAGAGGTCCATGTTACAATGTGTGGAGAAAAAAATGCAAGCTGCAGATTATTAATATTTTCATCTTAGAAACTATATGCACAGTACCATGTGGGTTTAGGAGCAGATGCAAAAAACATTTCTGGAAAGAGAGAACAAGTTGTTTACAATGGTTACCTTTGGATAAATGGGGGACCTTTCACGTTCCACTTTCTACTTTTTTATTGAAAACTGGTGGAATTATGAGTTTCTTTTTCTGTCTTTTCTAGACTTTCCAAAAATTCTCCAATTACCTTGTGTTCGTTAACATTTACAATAAAAGCCTTTAAAAATTAAATACTCTGAAAAATGCCAAAGGTCCCTGAACAGTCCACTTCTTGATTTATACGCTAGACTGTATTTCTACTGCTACCTTAAAGGGTGTCATAATTTTTGCACATTTCCTTTGCACTTTTAACTCAGTAAAAAAAAATCTAGATCTAAAATCTACAACACAGAGAGAGTGGTAAATTAAGAGCTTACTAAATGTTCATGTATTTTACAAACAGCATATTCTTGACACAGATAAAAGTTCGTGCATGTGTTATATACATGTATTTTCCCGCAAGTTCTGAAACATCTATTTTTCTATAAGATTCTTAATTTAAAACCATTTCATGTTGCTCCAAATACATGTGGAACTTTAAATCACTTATTAAAATCTAAGAACAATGGGTAATGTTCTTGTCCCTTAGAGAGTTTTTTAGATTCTTCTTAAAGATCCTGCATGCTCTTTCTTAGGTTCAAAGTAATGTGTTTGATACTCTTGCTGCTTTTGTGAATCTGTCCCCCTTCATTTAATTTCCTAACCAGTTACGGTTATTATAAAAAACACTCTTCGTTTTTGTAAATTTGTGATCTAAAACTATCACTTTCCTAAACTCCTTTCTGTTCAAATAGCTTTTCTTTTCCAAGAATTTTTATTTTTTATTTATTTATTTGTTTGTTTATTTATTTATTTATTGTGGTACACGGGCCTCTCACTGCTGTGGCCTCTCCCGTTGCGGAGCACAGGCTCCGGACGCGCAGGCTCAGCGGCCATGGCTCACGGGTCCAGCCGCTCCGCAGCATGTGGGATCTTCCCAAACCGGGACACGAACCCGTGTCCCCTGCATCGGCAGGCGGACTCTCAACCACTGCGCCACCAGGGAAGCCCTATTTTTATTTTTGAAGAAGTATTACAATGCGCATATGTTTATATGTGTAAAAATACATATAGTGACAAAAGTCTCCCTCTTCCCATCTCTCCTCCCTGGAGACAACCTCTGTTAAACTTAAAAAAAAAAAAAAAAAAAGACTATTTTCTGGAGCAGTTTTAGGTTCACAACAAAATTGAGGGGAAGGTACAGAGATTTCCCATAAAACCCCTGCCCCACAACCTTCCCCAGATTGCACAGCCTCTCACATTATCAACACCCCCCCACCAGAATGGTACATTTGGTACAACTGATGAACCTACACTGACACATTATAATCACCCAAAGTCCTTAGTTTAAATTAGGGTTCACTCTTGTTCAGTCGATGGATCTGGACACATTTATATTGACAGGTGTTCACTATTATACTTTTTTTTTTTTTAATGCTGGGCTTTTTAAAACTTATTTATTTTTTATTTTATTTATTTATTTTGTTGTGTTGGGTCTTCATTTCTGTGCGAGGGCTTTCTCTAGTTGTGGCAAGCAGGGGCCACTCTTCATTGCAGTGAGCGGGCCTCTCACTATCGCGGCCTCTCTTGTTGTGGAGCACAGGCTCCAGACGCGCAGGCACAGTAGTTGTGGCTTACGGGCCTAGTTGCTCCGCGGCATGTGGGATCTTCCCAGACCAGGGCTCGAACCCGTGTCCCCTGCATTAGCAGGCAAATTCTCAACCCCTGCACCACCAGGGAAGCCCTATTATACTTTTATACAGAGTATTTTCCCTGCTCTAAAAATCCTCTGCCTATTCATCTCTCCCTCTCCCAGCCACCCCTAGCAACCACTGATCTTTTTACTGTCTCCATAGTTTTGCCATTTCCGGAATGTTATATGGTTGGAATCATACAACATGTAACCTTTTCAAACTGGCTTCTTTCAGCTTAGTAATATGCATTTAAGTTTAAACAATAAGCATTTCTGTTAAAAGTTAAACACTTTTTATGCATCCGTCCTTAAATATGCATACGTTCAAGAAAAAGTCACATATCCTTTTTTTCTCTTCTTCATACAAACAATAGCATACTATGCACATTGGTTTGCAATTTTTTCCCCTAACTATAGAGTTGTATTTTAAAATTAACTTTGAGGTATACTTTATACACAGTAAAATGCTCCCATTTTCAGGGTACAGTTTGATGAGTTTTGACAAACATCTATATTGTGTAACTACCACCACAATCACGATTTCCTAAATATATTCAGAAGGACATTCCATATTAGTACTTAAAAGGCTTCTTCCTCCTTCATTATGGTTGCATAGTATTCTATCAACAAAATGCACCATCATTTTCAAACAGCTTTTTAAAAACCTCATTTGAAAGTAATTTCAGCTTATAGAAAAGTCACAAGAATAATATAAAGAACTCCCATATACCCTACACCCAGATTCACCTTTTTGTTAAAACATTTTGCCACATTTGCTTTACCATTCTCACTCTCTCTCTGTACAAATACACACACATAATTTTTTTCTGAACCATTTAAGAGTAGGAGATGTACATCATGCCCCTTTGCCCCATAATCTTTCAGTGTATATTTCCTAAGAATAAGGCTATTCTCTTACATAACCACAGTGCAAATATCAAATTCAGGAAATGTCACAGATTACATAAAAAAGCATTGCATCAATCAAAAATATTCCATTTCTAGTTATCCTAATGATGTCCTTTATAAAATATTCTAACCTGATAGAAGACTCAGTTCAGGATCAAGTTCTGCAATTTACTGTCATGTATCTTTAGTGTGCTTTAATCTAGACAGTTCCTCTGCTTTTCTTTGTCTTTTATAACACTAAAATTTAGAAGAATACAGGCCAGTTTTACAGAATGTGCAAAGAGTTTTTCAATGGGTAATTTTTAAAGGAAAACAATTACTTATTACTATATACTTTCTGCAAGTTGTTAGAAAGTACTTCTTCGTTTAGAAACAAAAGGATACATCAATGGCTTCCTATAAATCCAACCTAAAGGTAGAGATTGTCAGACTAGATTAAAAAAAACAAACATGATTCAACTAGTTGCTGTCTACAGAAGACACCCTTTAGATTCAAAGATTTCAAAGATACAAACTGATTGTAAGTTAAAAGGTGAAAAAAGATATACATAGCATGCAATCAGCAATCACAGCAAGCTAGAGTGGCTATACTAATATCTGACAAAACACACTTTAAACAAAAAATGTTACTAGAGATAAAGAGGAACATTTTATAATGATAAAAGGGTCAATCCATCAGGAAGATATAATGTTTATAAACATGTAGTGCATCTAGTAACAGAGCACTACAATACATGAAACAAAAGCTGACAGAATGAAGAGAGAAACAGATAATTCAACAGTAACAGTCGGAGACTTTGATATTCCAACTTCAATAATAAATAGAATGACTAAATAGAAGATCAACAAGGACATAGAAGACTTGAAAAAACTATAAACCAACTAGACCTAACAGACATGTATAGAACATTCCAGCTAACAACAACAGAATATATATATTTTTCAATAATAATGGAACTTTCAAGCACATGGAACATTCTCCAGGATAGAACGTATGCTAGGTCATAAAACAAATCTTAACAAATTTAAAATTACAGAAATAATACAAAGTTTATGTTCTCTGAATACAACGGAATGAAATTAGAAGTCAATAACAGGAAAAAATTTAGGAAAATCACAAATATGTGTAAATTAAACAACATACTCCCAAATAACCAAAGGGTCAAAGAAGAAACCAGGTTCCAGGAACTGCTCTCTTTCCTAACCATTTCAGCCTGTGGTGGTAAGGGCTCCATTACGTTGCTAATCCAGGGATGCTGAAACCATCCCACAATGGTCTCTGAAAAACTTATAAATAGTCCCTTCATGAAAGTTTCTTTGATCATTCCTTATGAGTGTGTTATCTGTTTCTTTCTGGGATTCTGGCACACTTCCTGATCCCCCATTTCCACACATAACCCCCAGTATCTGGTAACCCTGCTATTTCCTATCTCAGAAAATCATACCACCATGCATGTAGTTGCAAAACTCAGAAATCTATAGTTGACACCTCCCTCAATTAAATACCTAATCTCATTGATTTGATTCCCCCCATACTCTTTTTTTTTTTAAATATTTATTTATTTAGGCTGCACAGGGTCTTAGTTGCAGCATGGGGGATCTTTAGCTGTGGCATGTGAACTCCTTGTTGTGGCATGC